TTAACAAAAGGATCAGCTGAAGACGCGATTTACGACTTGGGGACGTCAGAATAACGCAAAGACAGAAACTATCTGGAGAGTGTTACCACAATATATAATGTGAGAGAAATCGCATTGGAATAGAGTAAAATGCCTTCCAAAATCTTAACAAAGTATTAACAAACAAGAAAATCTCTGTCTATATTTCTGAGATGAGGTATTATGTACACTATTTACATTATTGGGGCTATTGTCCTCATCTTTGTCACCACAGTGGATAAAGGCGTTATATCCAATGACAGAAACCAAAGAGTGTGAGTTCAATACCTGGTTACGTCGGTGGAGAATTTAGAGAGGGGGTAACTGATAACTGACACCTATTAGAAATGGCACGTGGAACTAGAAAAGTATACCCAAGCGAGCGAAATAAAGGGTTCAGTTCGACATTCCAACCACCTGAAGAAGGCCGGAGCGTACAACGGCCGAAACGTTGTAATAAATATTGCGACAAAGATGAGGACAATAGTCCGAATAATGTAAATAGTGTACATAATACCTCAGATCAGAAATATAAACTGATACTGAAAGACTGAAACGTTGTAATAAATATGGCGACAATGATGAGGACAATAGTCCGAATAATGTAAATATTGTACATAATACTTCATCTCAGAAATATAGACAGATACTGAAAGGCCGAAACGTTGTGATAAATATGGCAACAAAGATGAGGACAATAGTCCGAATAATGTAAATAGTGTACATAATACTTCATCTCAGAAATATAGACAGATACTGAAAGGCCGAAACGTTGTAACAAATATGACGACAAAGATGAGGACAATAGTCCGAATAATGTAAATAGTCAAGAAAATCTCGTTACAAAGAAAAAAAAAACATGATGAATTGTAAGACAATAACACTCCTCCAATTTGGTAGCGGATGTTGGACAATTTCCTCGCAGATAAAGAAGAGAATTTAAACAATAGAAATAGGGTTCTACATGAATAATACCATAGACGGAACGGATGAGAAACGAGAAAGTTTTAAGGAAAATTGTTTTTAGAATTAGAAGAGTTCTTAAACATAAAATTAGAAAAGAAAGCTTGGAGCATTTGACATGAAGGGCAGAATGAAACATCAAATGACCTACACAATGAGCTTGTGTAAATGTGTTATATACCGTACCTATGAATACTAATGGGTATGTCCCAATCCTCATAAATACGTTGGACACGATTGTAAGTGGTGGTGGTAATATGCTGTCTAAGTAGTTCATCACTAGCAGTGGTTTACCTACTTCACGCCGCTGGCGTGTATTGTATTTTGTTGATGTTATATAGATTACCATTTCATTTCCAATCGTTTTGGTTATTCCTCATTCTGTAACCTTTTCTAAATGGCTGGCAGAACAATGACTATATAGTGAACGGATAAAATTGTTTAGAGCTACTAAGACTAGGAAGTTGTGGAGAGCCATGATCTCTTATACTCTGAAGGGGAACGTCACATAAAAGAAGTAGTATATCCAATTACTAAGCAAAGTTTCAGTTTCACTCATCGCTGATACACTTTAGCCCGTCACACCCTGGCCTACCTTTGTTTCAGGTACGATTCTTTTCTTAGCTAAAGCTTTTAAAGGTAACACCATAAACTACACACAAACCAAGAAACATGGTCATACTGCCTGAAAGTAACAACTGATGTTACTCTCTGACGTTCCCCAAATCCCAAGTGGTCGTAGAAAGCAGATTTCGAGAGAAATAGGTAAATGATGGGAGAATTGCATACGACCAGTTAGTGTGAACTACATAGAAAACAATTTATAACAAACGAAAAATAATAAGAATGAAATCTACAAGTGTGATTGGTGTATAAAATATCAGTCACTTAAATGTACACTTGTATGAATCTATTTTTCAGGACTATGAAATATGTCCTGATTTTGAAGGCAGCATTTTGGTAGACGTTAACACGACGTCCTTCAACAATGACACACACAAAAAAAAATTTTAAAACATTTACATCGCATATCCATTTTTATATCGCAATCGCCGTTTTTAAAAACTTTATACTACAGCAATCGCCATTTTTTAAACTTTTATAATGCATCCGTATACACATTTTTCAATTCTTTTCCTTCTTCAATACAGGAGAATTGGTGTTTCATAACAGTTCAGTACTCTTTGTTCATAACGTAATTTTCATGTTTCTTAATACTTGCCTTAGCTTTTGGAAGACACCTTTCTCTATCTCAATGGGGCTTCTTATTTCGGGGTGGCATTTTTCATCTTCTGTTAAAACACATCCCAGAAAATTCAAATTTTTGTAATTTTGGTGTCTCCAATTCGTATTTCTCATGCTGGGCTCTTACTAACAACCATACATTCTGTTTTAGTACGTTTTCAAACATTCATTTATCACCTTGAATCATGCGTACTAATGCTATTTATTGAGCTTAACTTTTTCGCCAGAAGTCTACAAATATGGCGTATTCAACGAGAATCAAACAATAAAATATATATAACGTGTGTAACAGGAAAATTGTCCAATTGTGTAAAAAAAAAGCAAAATAGTCCCTTTGTCAGATTCAACCTTTAGAAATTATTAAAAATATCTTACTGGAATTCACTGAGGTTTTTATAACACTACTGAACTCTACTTTGAGCAATAAGAATTTATAATTACTCTCCAATTTTAACAGAAAAATCGTGATGAAATCGATCATAAACAAAAACGACATGTTCATCATTAATTAATCATAGCTAAGAATCGGAAGCACATGAAGGATTGAAGTTCAAATATATATATATATATATATATATATATATCAGCTGTCAATATACCACATAACACCCTTGAGCGCTTAGCCTAGGAGCGGGTATAATGGAGATCAACGTGTTTTAGTGGACTCAGCAATTTTCAATCTGCTTGTCTGAATCATCTTCAAGAAGCGAGAGCAAGATATAAAAGGTCAGCCAATCTAACAGTGATTTCATCTCACAATCCTCACTCTTGCTCCATATGTGGCCGCCTTTTGTAAATCACTAGCGGGTCTTAAGTGTCACTTAAGATTATCGCACAAAATTTCATAACTGAATCAACTAAGCTGTCAGATCCTCATACGTCGAGAGTCCAATATATATATATATATATATATATATATATATATATATATATATATATATATATATATGATAATTTTCCAACTTATTCAAGATGATATACGCTTTCTCTAACCTTCTAACTTTCTGTCCTGCAGTAACAAGATGTTTCACAGGTATCACGTACGATTTCATCTTCAGGACTTTTTTCATTGCTCTTTGGACTGTCATAGCTGAAACTCCTCTTTCACGTGCAAAGGTTTTATGAGTTGAGTTGGATCTTTTCTAATTGATCTATTTAGCTCTAAGTTGAAATGATGATCCCTCTTCTTGTTGTGACCTCCTGATCCAGTCTTCCTCTCTACTGTTCTTCTTTAAACTTATTCACCGTTCTCCTGGTAGTTCTTGAATGGAATTTGAACATAGAAGCCAGAGTATGCATGTTGGTACCATTACTGAAGACTTAAATGATCTTTTCCTCTCATCATTGCTCATTTAGAAAGAGAGTGGGGCTGAAACAAAACAATTTTAACCTGTTCTCTTTTTAGCTGAATAACTCAAATTGTTTTAAGATGCCTAAACGTCTTATCTGAAAACCTGGAAAAAAGAAACTCAGTTTAGTAGGGTTTTTTTTTTAAATATTAAACATTTTGTTGGATAGACAATTATGCTCTTTCACGACAATTTTGCTATTACACCCGGCATATTAATCATTTAACTCCATGAAAGACAGTAAAGCCACTATCACAGAAGTGGTTACTGAGTGTGAAAGAATATGAAGAGAAACATTGTTAATGAACGAGAACAATAGAAGGGTAATCGAGAAGACCTTGTATTTACATTTTTGAAGATCAAAACTGACTGGAAAGTATAGAGTCGGAAAGAGTTCAACAAGGAAGATGTACAAGAAAAGAAAACAAGAGCACAGAACTTACGGTTACATCCTGCCATTTCAACTGTGAATTGGTGATAGCTGAAATCCATAAATTCTGGGTATCATAGAGGAAAGTTGATCAGAACATTTACCAAGACAGCATTTGTCGAAAAGATATAGACAAGCTATATTACGGCGGTGAGAAAGTGACTAAAGCTGAGATGCCAGTTCAAGACCATTAACATTGTAGATTCTTCTTTGCATTTTATCAAGAATCTCTAAATAAATAGCAAGAAGCACAAGACTAGATGTGGCAGCAATATTCAAATCATGGACAAATGAACAAATGGTAGACTTATAAATATGTTAGATATATTCTGATGAAAAAAAATCTAGCACGACGCAGTGTACCAACTTTCCTAGCAGCAGAACTAGCAACTGATTCAATATAATTTTTCCACTCGATGTCAGTGGAAAATATTAGTTCGAGAAAGCGCAATGGATCACTCTCCTGGGGGTTAGCAGCAGTAATAGTTATGAAACGCGAAAAAGGGTCTCTCAGACGATCCCATGCTTTTAAAATAGCTCCCACTGATTATTAGTATTCCTGGTAGCATCTCCATCTCTCTTACGATAGCCACGCTGTAAAGATTAAATAAATGCGATGAGAAGACACCACATCATCTTACGTCATTTTTTATTTTTATCTATTTAATTTTCTATTCGTATACAGGTGGGTCTCTTTCAGTATAAGTTCTGGATTATTCTAACATCCTTCCCAAATAAATCAAGTGCAGGAATAGATAATGTAAAGAGGTGAAAATAGAAAAGAAAAAAAATACATAACCAAATATTAATAGTAAATCTATTTATTTTTAAACATATCGAAGTTGTTATTTATAATTCATGTTAGGCGCAATTGTCAAGCCGCCTGACGATTGCGCTTAGCATGAAACATCCTGTCGCCTTTGGCAATTAGAACTTGGCTCTCCGATTAAAAATTCCGAGCAAGTAACCATTACACCATCTGCATATCCAAGTTTATAGCACCTGGTATTCGCAAGAGGTCACCCATCTAAGTATTGACCAGGCACGGCGTTGCTTAATTTCCGTGACCGTACGGAACCGGTGTTTAAACGTGATATTGCTGTAAGCCAGAACAAGTGTAAAAACGTATGTGTATATGAGAACATAGTGGGTTTCTCTCTCTCTCTCTCTCTCTCTCTCATATACTTTCTTTCCCCCCCCTCTCTCATATACTTTCTTTTCCCCTCTCTCTCATACTTTCTCCCTTCCTCTCTCTCATATACTTTCTTTCCCCCTCTCTCTCTCATATACTTTCTCTCTCCCTCTCTCTCATATACTTTCTCTTCCCCTCTCTCTCATATACTTTCTCTCTCCCTCTCTCTCATATACTTTCTCTTCCCCTCTCTCTCATATACTTTCTTTCCCCCTCTCTCTCATAGACCTTTTCTTTCCCCCTCTCCCTCATACTTTCTCTCTCCCTCTTTCTCATATACTTTCTTTCCCCCTCTCCCTCATATACCTTCTCCCCTCCTCTCTCTCATATACTTTCTTTCCCCCTCTACCTCATATACTTTCTCCCCTTCTCTCTCTTATATACTTTCTCTCTCCCTCTCTTTCATATACTTTCTTTCCCCCTCTCCCTCATATACTTTCTCCCCTCCTCTCTCTCATATACTTTCTTTCCCCCTCTCTCTCTCATATACTTTCTCTCCCCGCTTTCTCTCTCTCATTGTCTATTTATATATGTCTATCTAGATATCGTTCTGATACTTTTTCATACTGACATCACTTAGCTTGATTTCCGTATACCTGAAAACTATAAATGTCCGGTTTCGATCGAAGTCAGTTTTCTGTTAATGACAATTCTCTCTCGATTGTTTCCGGTTTTTCTTCAACTTCACATGGCATTTAGTAATAGACCGATTTGTGTTTAAAATTCGAAGAGTTCAAAGCGATTACGCGGCCTTGTGGGTGATGAATTATTTCCCAACCTTTACCACAGACGAAACGTTACTAGCTACTCTATCGATATTTTCCAGGGTAAATATTCAGACAAGCCATTGTCATGGAAATGTAAAAAAAAACAATTATCATTTTGTTAATGATTATTCAACGCCGAGAGATCTAGGTGTTCATGCCTGTTTGCTTACTGAGCTGCCGCTTCAAGATAAAACGAAATTATATATTGGTCTATTTTTATTTTCCTGGAATTCGTACCACGATGCGTCCGTGCATAAGTAAAGTCTTGAGGTAAAAGACGCACCTCGTCAGGTTCTACTAAAAGAAGCGAATGGCTACATCGTCGTTGTTATCACTTTAATTCGGTGTTCCTGATTCAGGAGAGATGCGAATGATCTTATTATTTTCTTCGCTGCAGAACCGCAAAGTCACCTAATGCACTGACGGTCGTTCCTAATGAAATCATATCTGCACACGGGGATCTAAGATAAATGTCTCTTAGCAAAGCCGTAACGAGATTTATCGTCGCTTGTTTTAGCATTCCGAGCACAAGTGGTTGCTAAATGATGGCATCTTATGCGTTATTTCTGTTTTAGTTTTTTAAATACAAGAGTAAAAACCTTTCTTTAAGCGATAAGTCGGGTCGAATAACGTATAGAAAAAGATAAATGACCGTAGCTACATTGAATGAGAAGCTAATTATTTTCAGTGAAGCAGTAAATCATTTATAGATTAAAAAAATGATCTGAAAAGAAATGTAATGAGGCCTGTTAAAGAGTTATCGCCCCTTTTATCATGTTCGTGGTTAGATATGTTTTTCCTCAAACGATTTTATTGGTTAAGTTTGCATTTTTCTTAAACAGAGAGTTGGGAAAGTCACGTTTACAAGGTTAATTCGTCATCTAATATATTTATGTGAGGCACGGTGTAGTAATGGATAGCAGCTCGGATTGAAGAATCAGATTGATGAGTTCGAATTCCAGTCAAATCCACTGCATTCACTTATGTGCTAATACCCTTGGGAAAGGTATGAACCCTCTTATCCCCCCAGCTATGGGTAAATAGCAGGACAGACAGTTTTATAGCCTTGGATGGCAACTGGTCTACCGCAGAAAGAAAGAGCAGCCTATTCAAGAAAAAAAAAACTGCTACGTCAGTCATGTATCGAAAGATACATGATCGTCTAAGCGTGTATCAAGCATGGTACATAAATGATTGAATATATTTAAAAATCAATACGTAAGCAGACAAATGTGTGCTCATCAGCATATAATGGCATCTGTGCAGATTCATATAAATGCAACTGGAAATATTTAGAAAGAAAAGAATAAAGCGAAAAAAGTAGAGAGCCACTCTAGGTAGAACATTACTGAATGCGATTGTAGGAAGAGCGTAAAGAGAGAAGGGAGAGGAGAATATTATGAGCATATGTTGGATAGATATCGGTTGATCCTAGACTTGGAGAGTTTCAACTGCTAAATAATCCGAGCAATTGTTTCTGCGATGAAACTGGTGATTCATCCCCCTACTATCGGTTAAATTGTAGCTAGAAAAATAATTGTTATTCTAAAAAGCATTGATAATGCAATATTCACACGCAAAAAAAAAGAAATATTCTTATAATCCAAATTATGTTTCAGCTTTAGTTAACAAAGGGATGATAAACTGTAAAACTAAACAAATCAAAGAATAAATTTACAAAACGAGGGTAACACAAATATCAGCGATTGAGCGCTTTTTTTTCTTCTCTTTCAACTCTTTCCTTACACTTCCGGCTGGTGTTAAAACTGTTGCTGATTCAGATGTTCATTCTCATTTTCTTCTCTATAAGTAGCAATACAGTTGATGCAGTACTGCAGAGGCCCCAAAAGAAGGGGAAAAATGGAAGTAGAGATGAAGTGAGAAAGAAAGATATTGGTACCAACATTCGTAATGTGGCTTCTGACTTCATTCAAGAAACATCAAGAGAACGGTGAATTAGTTTAAAAAGAGGGAACAGTAGAAAGGAAAACTGGACCATGAGATCAAAACAGTAAGAGGGATCGTCGTTTCAACTGAGAGCTAAATAGATCAATTAGAAAAGATCCAACTCAATTCATAAGACGCTTGGCACGTTAGAGTAGAGTTTCAGCTATGACAGTCCAAAGAGCATTTAAAAAAGACTTGAAAATGAAATCGTACGTGAAACCTGGAGACAGCTTGTTACTCCAGGACGGAAAGGTAGAAAGTTAAAGAGGACGACAATCATCTTGAATAAGTTGAAAATCATCCTTGAATATATATATATATATATATATATATATATATATATATGTATGTGTGTGTGTGTGTGTGTGTATGTGTGTATATTATATATATATATATATATATATATATATATATGAACCCCCACTGGGTCAGGTTGATCGATTTCATCACACAAGGTCAATTTTTTAAATTTTGCGTTACATGGGGGACCTCAGGATGCTATACTCGGTATATATTGATATTGGTATGACTGGTTGTGCAGTATAGAAAAAATACTGAAATATATTTTGAGTGATTTGTTTTCATGGTGCAGGTGGTTATTTAAAGCCAGATTTACTATTTTAGATGGTAAGAATGTTTTGTGGAGATTATAATGGTTTAATGATACAAGTCTTAATAAGTAAACGATAGCTGCAGAGAGAAGAGGTGGGTTCATGCCTTTTCTAAGAGTATTTGCGTAAGTCAAATCCCATAGGAATTGGAACCTGGTTACAATTCCATTATCCATTGCAATTCATTCAAGATCCAAGCTTACAGCGCTTACTAGCATCTAGGTACTGACCAGGCTCGACGTTGCTTAACTTCGTTAACCGTAGTGGAACCGCTGCTTCAACGTGATGTAAAATTGAGTACATCTGAGCTTAACCCAACACTATAGTAATTTGGTATTTCCCACCTCATGAAGTCGCCTTTGGACACAAGGTCGAGCTAAGTGGGAGCTGTTAATGCCAACCGGGCTAGAACAAAAATTGCCAGAGTTCTTGTAACTGTCATTCCCCGATCCCCTCTCTCTAGTTCACATTGAATGAGGCATGTGAGGGCCGGCACCTCTCAAGGTCCTCCTTGAAGTAACCGCTCTGATGCACCTACTCCAAAGACAGAGACGCAAATGAGAATGATAGATAGGATGTCACAAACTACCTGAGAGGACCAACGGCACGAGCTATAATTCAGGCCGGGACCCAAACCTCAAAAAACCGATCCCCTCTAGTGCAATGAGAGGGCCCCAGCCAGGGCCGGAAAGAGCATTTTCCTGCGTCCCTTGACGGAGTCGCCCCTAAAGACAGAGACGCAACTGAGAGATGATAAATAGAATCGATAGAACAATTTACACGGTATTTACTTGATCCCCTCTTGTGACACAAGGTCATTTTTAACGTGCAATGGAGGCTGGTCTTAGCTGGTCCTCGGGCAGCTGTACCCCATCAGCACAGGGCACCCGGTCAGTATTATTTTCCATTCCACGTTGACCTCGGATTAATGTCCCGTGCGCCTACATGACAGAACTGTCGGTTGCCTGGTCTTCGCGATCCCTCCTCTTGTGCAATGGGAGGGCGCGGCCTGTCCAACAGGACAGCGCACTAACAGAGACGAACAGATGATAAGAAAACGTGAAATTACCCCAACAGAGGAATTTACACATTCAAAGCTAAATATCTGAGTTATATATTATCTAATTTTAGGCGATATCACTTTTCAGGTTTAACTAACTTGCATATTGATTTTAAAAACGTATATTTCTTAATTAACTGTCCTTTATTATTATTTCAAGGATGTTTTTTTTTCATCTCAAAAATAGTTCTGTTTATGAATATTGTTTTATATAGTGCAGAAAAGTGTTTGAAATTTGCATTTTAATGTTGGCATCTATTTGTAAAACTTTCCTTAACTATAACAAGCCTGCGCCAACAGCCGACCAATTAATTTCTTCTGTTTTTACAATCATATTCTTTGAACAAATATATTGAACCTCCAAAACTCTTTCAACATTTCATAAATAGTGAACATTTATTATATAGAAAAACAACTATGAGGTTGGTGCAAAAAAATAACGACGTAATAATGTCGTTTTTTGACGTTAAAAAATACGTCATTATTTTTGCACCAACCTAATAATTTTACCTAGAAAAATTATAAG